GTGTGTGTGTGTGTGTGTGTGTGTGTGTGTGTGTGTGTGTGTGTGTGTATGAGATATGAGGTTTCATGCATATTCCTCAGAAAAAAAGAGTAGTATCTGGGAGCTGGGAGACAAGGGCCGAAGCCCAGGGATCTGGAAATATTAAGGTCAGACCCATGAGCAGAGAGCTCCGGGGGGTTGGGGGCTGCAGTTGGTGGAACTGTAATCTGGAGTTTTGTTTCCTTCCAAGGCTCACTTTCCCACCTTGTCTCACCTCCAGGTGGTGAACAGGAAGCGGGTATAGGAGCACTGGGGCTGCCAGGGACCCCTCAAATGGTTCTTCTTTTTTTTTGTAAAAATTGTGGCAAAATACATAAAAAATTTTCATCTTAACCATTTTTAGGGTATAGGTCTATAGTGTTAAGTATATTCACATTGTTGTGCAATCCATCTCCTGAACCTTTTCATCTTATGAAACTGAAACTGTATATCCCTTAAATACTAACTCCCCAGCCCCTGGCAACATTCTGCTTTCTGTCTTTACGAATTTGACTCCTCAAGATACCTCATATAAGTGGAATCATACAGTATTTGTCTTTTTCGGTCTGGCTTATTTCACTTAGTATAATGTCCTCCAGGTTCACCCGTGTTGTAGCCTGTGTCACAATCTCCTTGTTTTTAAATGATGAGTAGTATTCCACTGTAGGTAGGTACCACATTCTGTTTACGGTCCTTGTTTCTTGATGTGGGCCCCTTTAGGTGCCTCTTTCCCTGCGTACAAAGCCCCCGGTGCCTGATTCAGCCCTGCTTGTCCTGGACATCTCACTGACTTGCTGCTCAAACCCCGGGTCCATACCCAGGACTCTAACTCAGGGCTCTAGAAAGTGTCAGGGTCAGAGGGAGCGCAGACCTCAGCCTGGGAGGACGGGGGAGCAGGGAGGGCCAAGTGGGAAAAGGAAAGAGATGAGAAAACCAGGGTTGGGAAGAAGGCGATAGAAATGTGGTAAAGGTTTTTTGTTTTTTAAGATTTTATTTACTTGAGAAAGAGAGCGAGCGAGCATGGGGGTGGGGAGGGGCAGAGAGAAAAGCAGGCTCCATCCCAGGACTCCAGGATCCTGACCTGAGCCGAAGGCAGACACTTAATCTGGCTCATGACAAAGACTGAGCCGCCCAGGCACCCCAGAAATGTGGTGAAGCTGAAGACACAGACCCATGAGCAGAAACACTTATGTTGGAGCTCAGGGGCCCAGTTACCCATATGGGGGTCCCTGTATCCCTGAGAACTCTGCAGGGTGGATCAGATTCTCCTTCTCATAGTCTTTTGCTGCCCTGTTGGGGCATCTAGCCACAGAACTTTGTGGAACTTCTATATATCTAGCCATTGATGAAATTCCATGAGCCCAGATGGGAAGCTCGTCATGGGAGGCTGAGAACCACGAACCCAAATTCACCCTTCTCAGAATTTACAGTCTGGCTGGAAAGATGAGACCAAGGCCTGTGGATAGCCTTTCTTCTTTGAAGAGGGCTCCAGCTTTGAGAATAAACTGGTTGAATCATAAAACCAGAGATCTTTATGTAGTTGTGGAGAGGGGTCATTGACTTGAGTGGTTCTTAAATTGCTTTCGCTCCAAAGCCTTTAGCTCAAACTAAATCCTATGGGGGAGCCGATGCACGGAGCTGAAGGGAATGGAGTTCTGGCTGAGGTGGTGGGCTGGACTCCAGCTTCTTGGAGTCCCTAACTTGTGTTCCTTGGAGCACAACCAGGAGACCCCTGATTGAGCCAAACCTGACTGTCAAAATAAAGAAATGGATTGTTAGAGGTAAAGTGACTTATCCGAGATCATAGCTAAAAGAACCCCAGAATCCCATATTTTTCCCATTTTCAACACACCAACCTGCCTTTGAAATTTTTTTCCAAGTTAAGCTCTTGGGCGTCCGACTGCTCTTTTTAGACATTATTTATTTCTCCTTTTTGAAAATCAGCCTCCCCAACTTGAAATCTAATATTCTTCCTCAGTGTCAGGGCCTTGTTAGGTTTTCCCCCCTCCCTCCCTTTCTACACGAAGTGTTTGTTGTCCACTATACGCATTTATGAGGAATTGGGGTTAAGGCTCCCGGTGATTAAAAAACTGAGAGTGTTTTGCCTGCCCAAGTAGCTTATGGTCTAGTTAAGCAACGACATAAGCATCCAAGGACTAAGCAGAGAACGATTGTCAATGTCAAATAGCATAACTTTTTCACTCACAAAGGATGAGTTCCCAGGAACCTGCATGAAGAGGAACCAGGAGGAAATGAGCTGTGCCAGGGAAGATTTTCCTCCGGAGATGGGCTTTAAGTGAGACCCAGGGCTGGTGGTCAGGCCTGGGGAGAGGAAGGTCATGAAGTGGGTTTACCAACGCATTCAACAGACACTTACTGAGTGCCCACTGTGTGTATGGCCTGGACTGGGCCTTGGGGATTTACTGCGCCAGACAGCCATGGTCCCTGTCCTCATGAAGCTTACAATCCAGTGGGAAGATAGACATTAAATAGTTGTAATCATGTGACAGATAACAGCCAACCTTTTCTGAAACCAGTATCAGTTATCGTTCTATTTGGCTGTGAGTTATGAAGACCAAAAGACAGTGGCTTAAAGGAAACAAAAGTGTGTCTTTCCCTCCCATTGAGGTTCAGAGGCTGGCAGTCCAGGGCTGCTATGACAGCCATTCTTTTTTTTTTTTTTTTTAAGATTTTTTATTTGTTCATTTGAGACACAAAGATACAGAGAATGAGAGTATGAGCAGGGGGAGAGGCAGAGGGAGAGGGAGAAGCAGACTCCCTGCTGAGCCGGAAACTCGATGTGGGGCTGGATCCCAGGACTGGGATCATGACCTGAGCTGAAGGCAGCCGCTTAACCATCTGGACCACCCACGCGCCCCATGACAGCCATTCTGCACAAAGTGCCCAGGACCCCAGACTCCTTTTATCTTGTGGCCTTGCAGCGTGTGACCTCCGCTCATGGTCCAAGATGGCCCCTCTGGCTCAGCTCCCACTTCTACTGAAGGAATAGTTCTGGAAGCATTTCCTACTTGGTGAGCCTCCTCAGGAACCAGCACAACCTCTATGGTGTTGGGCCTGTTCATCTGAAGACAGAAGAAACTCCTTCCCTCCCCTGCCTGCCTGCTGCTGGGCCCATGTCAGTCAGGCTAAGTACTTGCCCCTCCTGGGAAGAAGCATGGGTAAAAGGTGACCTATTTTCAAGTTTTTCTTTGACTGGACCAACTTCCAGTATTTCAAACCAGGACTCGGGCCATGTCTTAGTCTTTTCGGGTTGCTATGACAAAATACCATATACCGCGTGGCTTAAACAATAGATATTTATTTCTCACCGTTCCGGAGGCTGGAAGTCTGGGATCAGGGAACCAGCATGACTGGATTCTGGTGAGAACTGTCTTCCTGTCTTCTTGCTGTGTGCTCACAGGAGAAAGGGTGGGGAGAAAAAGAGGTGGAGAGAGAGGCTAATCCCATCAGGAGGGATCCACAATCATGACTTTGCCAAAATACAATTATCAAAGGTCCCACCTCCAAATGCCTTCACACTGGAGCTTTAACATATGAATTTGGGGGCGAGGGACACAATTCAGTCCATTAGCAGACTCTAGAATCTGTAGGAATAGGACTGAGCCCACTGAGGTCCCTTCCACCACCCTGAGGGGTGGCTGACTGTGGACCTAAGAGGGTGGCGCCTCAGGAGGTCGAATGAGGGTTGGGGGGAAGAGAGGAAGGGGTGTCCCAGATCCTGAGCAGATGGAAGGAGGGCTGCAGCCTGAAGCTAACAATGGCACCTTCCTGATGGGGTGATGGCAAGTGCTGGGACATGGGACAGCTGTCTTGTGGAAGAAAGATGACTGAATGTGCCCACAGGCCAGGCTTCCTGTCTCCTGGAGATTGGACCAGTAAGCGCAGATCGTGGTGCAGTGTCCTCACCACCCTAAGACCTGTGGACAGGTGCTGCAGAGGAAGCTTCCTGCTCCAGGTCAGAGAGGATGAGTAGCCTCATTGAAAGGGGATGAACCAAGGCAGGGAACAGGGAGGAGATGTAGGGAAAGCTCCTGCTTACCCTCTCCCTGCCCTGCCCCTTCCTTACCTCCCATCTAAAGGTCAGTGTGTGCCTCCTGAATGCCTGAGCATGCGGGGAGCCTGTCCTGCCCCCCTTGGAGAGACAGTGGGTAAGGCGACTAGTCACTAGGGCTAAGGTGATTATGAAACGGGATCTGCTGATGTCAAAGGCAAATTTCAGAGAGATGATACTAACGAGCATTATCAAATTAGCGAACACCTACTATGTGCCGGGCTCTGAGCTAAGCACTTTACATCACATTTTCTCATAGCAGCCTAGGAGATAAGAGTTAATATCCCCATTTAAAATTTTTAAAACGTGACATAGAAAGAATAACAACAACAAACTTGACTCTTCTCTAGTATCCCCCCTCCGGTTGAAGGCTGTAGCACGGTATAATATTATTCCTAGAACGCCGTTTTTATCAAACTGCTTCCTCAATTAGGACTTAAAAGCCTCCCTAAAAGCTACTGGTCATTCCCAAACCTTTCTGTTAATTTCTAAGGCCTTCCTTTATTTGGCCCTACTCTGCTAGGACTCACTGTAGCCCGCTGACCTCTTTCCCCTCTGTTAGCTCCCTTACTCTGCTTCCTTCTCCTCCCCTTCCCAGCCCCCAGGACCTCTTGAGCCATCTCATTCCTCCCTCCTGATGTGTGCTCTTTTTTCTGTCCAAATGATTCCCACCCTTCAAGACCCAAGTCAGGCTGCCCCCGACTCCCACCCCTGCCCCTAGCTTTCTCCACTGGCAGAGGTCTCTGTGCTAATTATCCATGGCCACAATTTAGTCTCCTTAACACTGTTGCCAAATTGGAACCGAAGATATCAGAGCTAGAGGAGACCGTAGAGA